TTCGATGATGCTTAACCAAACCGCTAATGATCTAGAAGCGAGCGACAGGTATTTATTAAATTTATCTCTATGATCTAATGAAATTTCGAACGGTCGTATCTCAAGATAACTTTTGGTAAATTCTCAAAACTTTAGAAAAAGTGACAAGGATTGATTGAAACCAAAAGTGTAAGTTATTCTTACGAGTAGTACGACGAAGAATATGTTTAGGCTATAAATAGTAACCGCACCATTTCTTTTTTTTTTGGATGTGGTGCCATGCCGCCATATCTGATAAAATTTCCTTTGCAGAGCCGACATCCTTTCCAGTTTACCACTGCTGGAGAATAAAGATGTCGTCGATATCGGAGCCGGAATTGGGTAACTACATCACTATGCTACTTTCTTTCCATATATTGCAGAGATCAAATTTCAACTTCTAACAGTTAGAGTAGAATCTTGATGACCTATAGTTTCGCAGTAGTAAAGCGCGTAAAATCAAAATGACGCGTAACGAGCAATAAGACCTGCGTCAGACATTATCAACGATAATTCTGTTTATGCCTCACTTGATCACTGTTACCTACCTAAGGCGATGACTATAGCTTTAGGTGATAAGTCGGCGGTTAATGCGTTACTGACGGCAATTCGCTAAGAATCACAGTCACTGCGTGCTTTCCTAAAAAAGTCTAAGATTTAGAATTCATTTTCCTAAATCAAGTCATTTGATCGAAAAATTGAGACTGCTTACTTCTATTTTTAGAAAAAAAACCAGGTGCTCTTCAAATCAATAGTTCGATTATAGTGATTTCCAACTGCCCATCCCAAAAACACCATTTGGTTGTAGCTCTGGATTTTTTCAGTTCTTACAAATAATACAAATATATACATGAGACCCAATGGTTTGGAATTTCCTTCTGACAAAGTTAAAAACGAGCTTTTAGACGTTTTACTACGGTACTTGCCGAAACCGCCCGCTGGGTGCACTCCACTGACTTCATCGAATCCTTTATCGCCAAGAATCAGGAGAGAAACGCTCATCTTGGAAACATTAGCTACCAAATTGGTGATGCCGTCCACCTACAAATGGACGAAAAGAGGTGTGTTTCCTAAGTGCTTATCGTAAATTGAGGACTTTTGCGTTTTTTTAGTGTGGATTTGGTGTTCACCAACTGGCTCATGATGTACTTATCGGATAGGGAAGTGATTGAGTTTTTGTTCAATGCCATGAGATGGTTGCGAGCAGATGGATATCTGCATCTTAGGGAAAGCTGCTCGGAGCCTAGCACAGGTGAGCTTTTAACGACACATTCCAAATCTGACATCCAGTATGCCAAAAATGGATTATTGTACCTTTGAGGTCGCTCAAAGAGCGCAACACTGCATTCCAACGCAGAAGCAAATCCTACCCATTACCGTTTCTCCTCGCTTTACATCAAGGTAGATTTTTTTTCGACTTATAAACAGCTAACATCATGAAGAGAAATGAAATGGACTTAGGCCATAGTTTGCAGAGATCCCTTTCTTATTAAGCTTCTTCGTGCAATAAGATATCGCGACAATGACGGAAAAGTATGGCGATTTGATGTGCAGTGGAGCTGTTCTGTGCCTACATACATCACGGTAAGCGTACAGTAAAATATCGCGAGTTTCTGATTTAAATGTACTTCGACTTCAAATTTTAGCGATCGAATAATTGGCGTCAAGTGCATTGGTTGACGAAGAAGGTCCTAGCTGAAGGAGATAAGGAGACGCAAGCTAGCGATTTAATCAAGCTGTTTAGGTTTGAATTCATTTTCTTATCCCTTTCTTTTCCCTACATTATTTATAAGTTTGAAATAGCAGCTATTCTTTGACCCTTCCCTTTTGAA